GGCAAATGTGTGTCGACGACAACGAAAATACAATCTCAAAATAACCTCCGTTATTAATTGCACAGGACACCCAATAAGGTACAGAACACCCAACATAAATTCGGGGTTGCGTTCGCGTACCTCGAACGCAATAAGAACTTGACTAGCCTAATTGTCCAGTTAGCACCATTTTTAGCGGAGCTCTCGCGCGCGAAACGCGCCAGCGGAGCACCATGGGTAAGAAAATGAAGTAATCTACCCATCCGAGAAAATGTGGTAATCACGTGACCGTACACCGCCCGCCCGCCCGAGAGACCGGCCGTCCGCACCAAAGGCATACCAATGTAAAATAACTCAATCAACAGGTATGGTAACCCAAATGCAATTCGAGGTCATTTTGGCGGGAAATCACATAGCGTCCGGCGTCTTGTAAAGCAGAGACAACAAAAGAGTCAATAAAGACGAAAACGGAAAGAGAAAATTGTTTCTGTATCTGTGTTGTCTAAAGTATTAAGCTTTGATAAATTGTCATGTCCACAAATTTGGAATATAGAGCAAGAGAAAGACAGAGAAAAAGAGAAAGTGGGCGGCAGGCCAGCGAAGCTCCACGAGAAAAAGGGCGACAGGGATTAAGAGCGAGAAATAAACAAGGGAGGCATTTTTTTGTCGGAAGGACAACATGAAAATTTTGTAGCGGCGGTGACAAAATGAGAAATGCTAGCGGCCACCAATGCAAGGTGAAAATGGGCGGCAGTGAAACTAAAAGTGAACGGGAACACCATACGACATTTCCTCCATAAAACGTGTAACTAAGAAAATTCTGGAAGTTGCACGTTGTAGTCGTGCAAAACAACGGCAAAGAAATGTACAAAACAAAGTGTGCTACACGTGCAAAGTTGCTTTTGCTAATTAGACCTATTGTTGTTTTTCACCGTTTTCCGGCGTTGCATGCCGTCGCCGCTTAGCATTACACGATTTTATATTTTGTTTGGACAAACTATAAATATTATCCAGAGCTTCGCTTTTAGCCCCGAATAAATCTGTATATTATAAGAACTTTCTTAGCCTAGCTTGGGAAACCTTAGGTTCTTGTACGCAAATGTTTACTGTAAATCATACAAGAAAGAAATAATCATCACAGCAGTCACAGTTATTTCATTGCCTTGCAATTTAAGTTCTTGTATTGCTTTGAGACTCCTTTGAATTATATTACAAAAGAAAAGAACGAAGTTAAGCCTTATACCCAAACAACCTATAAGCCACAACCCTTGTTTTGAACCGTTTAGCACCCCTTATTAGACTTGAGGGACCCAACGACTGTTTTGTGTAAAATATAAGTTGAGAGAAGCAAAAATTGCCTTGAATTTTCTATTGAGGAGGGCTAAAAAATGTCTAGATGACCGTTTCATTCATGTACAATTTTCAAACCTTGTCTAATAAATTCCCTACGATTTTTTGACGTTAAATTTTTCTCATTTCACTCTCCAGGAGATTCGAAAATGCGATGGAGCGATAAATCAGAAAAATGATCTCTTTTGAAAAACTTTACTCGACATTGGCATATAAAAGTTTCGGGAAATAACACTGAAGCCCTTGTAATTTCGAAAAGAATCAAGTTGCCCTATATAGGATTACCGAACAGATAGAAATTTTATAGCGCCGCTTAGAATGCATTTCCGGAGATCTAAAAGTACTCTGGATTACTCTGGATAGCCTAAAAAGAGTTTTCAAAGCATTTGGGAGGAAATTGTCGTTGGCTGCCCCCGTTAGACTTTTTTCTCCAATTAAGGAAAACTCTTAACACTCTAATACAACTAGGGTATCTAAAAGATAGTAATGCTGCGGCACATTCTGTTGATACTGGCATTAGTTAGGCAGTGAGACTTAAAAGAATCAAAAATGACATTGAATGTCCTATTTACATGTTGGAAAGTACTAGAATAATTACTATCAGTCTATAGAAAGAACTCGTGGGAACGTTGTTTAGAAAATTATCAAGTGGTTATCAACTCTGGTTTTCCCACAGTAAATTGTAGGAAATAATAGAAATTCAGATCGTTTATCCATATATTTAATATACGGTGCACGATATTTTCTCTGGAAACACAATGCTTTTCTTGCTGTTTGTTGCACTTTATTAAGTAACAGTTATTTAGCTATATATTTATAGAAAACAACAACACAAAAAACGGGAAAAAAGGAAAAAGGAATGTATAACTCAGTAGGATTGGAACCCGGCACCTTCGACTCAACGCGACTATACTTAACCACTACACCACAGAGACTGATTGCGTACCTATCAGGAAAAGTCGTTCATTTTATTCCTTTTCCATGAAACTTCCGTCGGCAAGATGATCGCCAGCCGCATTAACCGAGCTATTAACAGTGAAAAAACAATGTAAACGTATATTCCATGGCAATAAATGAATGAAAGAACATAATTATGCTTTTCAAAACGCCGATACAAGTCCTCGTCTGCAAAGTAGGACACAAAACATATGTTTTGTCATCTCGATTTCCGCTGTTATTTTGAAGCGAATGGTCAAAATCACATCCATTTGCGGCTCATACAGTTTCTTAAGAATAGCTTGCATGACATTTTCTCACTTTCACATCACCTCCTAGCAAGATGGAATTTGTATATCCCCCGGGGGGGGTACTCCCATACATTACCTATACGGGTATGTGCCGCCCAAAGGGGTCGTGATTTTGAAGCTCCTGGTTTAGCACGGGGTATCCATTTCAGACGCGGTTTCTTGAACGGGGTATAATATTTCGAACACACGAAAGCTCTCCACTTTTGTAAGAAGCCATTTGAAAGCATTCAAGGACAGATTGCTTTTAAAATACGGTTCAGTGCGTTAGGAAGCAAACCGTTGTACTCTTGTTGCACCCTAGAACGGAGTATGAAAAATCGGCCCATTTCTAGAACGGGGTATTAGTTTTAGGGCGAATTCTAGAACGGGGTATAAAAAATTGGCCTATTTCTAGAACGGGGTATCAATTTTAGGGGAAATTTTTTCTAGAACGGGGTGCCAATTTGGAGTCCCGGGCGGCACATACCCACCCAAAAATTACCCAAGTGCCCCCCCCCGGGGTATATCCCCCGTGTTGCGGAGTCGAAGAGCAAAAAAGGCTCTTGAGTCAAAAAGGGCTCTTGAATTGAAATCCAATCCCCAAGTTAACCATCGTTCTCATCTGAAAGACTCCTGCGTGTCTTAAAATTTGGTAAGACCTCTAACCGTGCTGTAGAAAATTTGCCACAAAGTAAACTCTAAGTCTGAGCAGCGAACGATGCACTCTCTCACCCACCGAACTTCCCCGTGTTTTTATTTGAGTTGGTCGTGGCGCAATGCACTCTGGTTAAATGCAATGCATTGTGGTAAAAAGTGATGAATTCGAGAATTCGTCGCCCCTTATATATTTCCTTTAAATCCTGATTATGTTGCTGCTCGCTCCCTTCGGTTACAATTCAAATTTGAGTAGCCTGGGATCAGGCTTCGCATTGGGGGAAAAAGGAGAAAAAAAAAACGGCGTGGGCGAAAAAAAAAAAAAATCGGCGAGCGAAGCGAGTCGATCGCCAATATTTTTCCCTTGACCCCATTTTTTGGCTTGAGCCGGAAGCTCTAAGAACGGCTCACAGGACTGGTTTACAAAACAATAGATAGCCCTAACTCAAACAAAACTAACAATGAACCCCAACTCTGAAACAATAGAGCTTCGGACCAACAAGAACCTATCAAATCAGTTAGAGGTTCTAGCGAGGTTCTGGCCAACAGTTTTTCTCCCACTGAGGAGCCTGGTCCCAGGCTAACGTTTGAGCCTCTACACGTATTCAGGGTTTCTCACCATGCTAAACTAAGGCGAGCTTGAGCAAAACACGATGCAGGCTGGAGATCACCCTAAGCCTCTTAGAAGAAGAAGAAGAAGAAGAAGAAGAAGAAGAAGATACGTTTATTTCACCAGGGCCAGTCCTACAGTTACAAAAACTGATATCCTTAGAGGCCCTAGATAAAAAGAAATATAAAAATATGTTAAAAATACTTAAAACTAGTCCTAACTAAGCTAATAGAAAAATATCCTAAAAAGGATAAAAATTATTGCAAACTATTAATAAAAACTACAAATTACGATTAAAAACTTCACATCCATGATAACAAAAAGCTTTTTTGGTACATTCCAATTTGATGGAGGAAAGACGGAGATGATTACTTTGCCGCGTTTTTCTCTGTACGATATCTCTATTAAAATAAAAGTAGTCCGTTGAAAATTACGGTCAGCGCTTATTTAGACATTTCTTCACAAGGTTTAACGCGTGAATCTCCCGTCTAAGACCCAGCGTATCATATTTAAGGTGAGCTAGCGCTTCATCACTGCTGTTGGTTTGCATGATGTATTATCAGCATTCGTGCGTCCGCAACAGTTCCAAACGGTATCACAATAATCAAGAACAGGAAGAATAAATGATCTGTAAATTATACCAGCAGTATGCATACTAATGCTCCGCCTGGTGCTACCAAGAATTCCTATTCTCTTACCAACTTTGCTTATTAAATAATTCACGTGCGCGTTCCATGAAAGCGACTCATCCAAAATTACTCCTAGGTATTTATACTCAGGAACCCGTGTTAGCTCCTTGCCATCGATATTCACAGAGAGATTAGCGGTTGCTAACCTAGAACCAGTACCACATAAAACACATTCTGTTTTACCTTGGTGAATAAAAAGATTGTTGTCTTCAAGCCAGTCATTAACCCTGGGGGAGACTGGGGCGACCATGTGCGAGTGAAGACGTGGATGTTTCACTCCCGTGAACTTTTTGTCCTTTCTTAAAAATTTGTAGTCCTTAAACCTAGTCTATGGCTCAAAGTTGTAAACGGAAAACGAAGGCAAGTGTTAGTATCAGCTCTGATAGCGATATTTGCTCTCCAGAAGGAAAAAAGGCTTGCAACAGTCCTCGTTCGGAACCGAACATTGGCGTAGTATTTAGGGAGGACGATCAAGTTCTGGAGGCCCTGAACATGACAGAAAAAATCGCGACACAATTGGAACGGATCTTCGAAATGCTCGCAGGAGTAGAAAGCAGGTTACAGAATCTAGAAGGTATATTTGAACGCTTCTCCGCTTTGGAGAAGTCGGTTAATAAGCTCGAAACTGAGCTGAATAAGATTGTCGAGAAGACAAGAAAATTGGAAGGCGAAGTTAACGACCTCAGCAAGTCAATGGAATTTGCAAACGTAGAAATTGAAGACCTAAAGAAGAATGATAAAGAAAACGAAGTCAAAATCAAGGAACTTGAGAACAAAATATTGTATCAAGAGGTGTACAACAGGCGAGAAAACCTAAGATTCTTCGGTTTTCCAGAATCTGCTGATGGAGCTGAGAACACGCATGAAGTTGTACGAAAATTCCTTAGCGACGAGTTGGAGATGGAAAACGCAGCAGATATTGAATTCCAGCGAGCTCACAGAATAGGAAAGAAGAAGACGGGCGAAACTAGACCGATGATTGTTCGTTTTTTGAGATTTCCAGAGCGTGAGCTGGTCTTTCAAAGAGTACGTGAGCTGGCTGATGATATCGACCTTAAGGTCTACGCGGATTTTCCTAGAGAAATAAGCGAAAGAAGAAAAAAGCAGTGGCCACGTCTCAAAAAAGCAAGAGAGGAGGGAAAGACTGCTTTCTTTAGCAAACCAGAACCCGATAAATTGTTTATCGATGGACGATTTGTTCCCTTATAGACAAATCTAGGTTTTTTTGGACTTAGTTTATTTTATTTGACTTTGTTTATGCTTTTCATCAGTCTGTTTTTGTAACGGGAGTGGCATGTGTAGTTTAGAACAATTGGTGTAGTTGAAACGATTGTCCCAAGCTCTGTGGCAGCGTCTTATAGGTTTAAACGGCAGTATGATAACGAATCAACAACAAGTGGCTGAGGAATTGGTTGAGCATTTTGCTACCTTGGCGGATGGCATTGGCGGTACAGCGATTGAAAGAAAGTCAATAGAGGACTTTAGAGACCATCCTTGTGTTCAGAGGATACAACATGAAAATAGGAATTCCACTCAGACCATCGAAATCGAATTGGTTACACAGGGACAAGTCCTTGCAGTTCTCGATTCGCTGAACATAAACAAAGCCACCGGCACTGATGGAATTCCTTCAAAGGCTTTAAAAACAGGTGCTAATGAATTATCCGCTCCACTAACCACCTTGTTCAATTCTTGTATTAACAAGAATGCATGGCCTAGTGAATGGAAGTATGGGCATTGGGCCCCAGTATACAAAAAGGATGACAGGAATGCAAAGGAAAACTACCGGCCCATAACTCTCTTACCATGTGTAAGTAAAGTTCTTGAGAAGTTGGTTGGAGCGCAGATCAACTCTGGCTTTGGTAATCGCATTTACCAACACTCATCCGCTTATCGCAAAGCTCACAGCTGCGAAACAACATTGATCAATTTAGTAGAAGATTGGAGACTGGCGAGGGATCGAAAACAGGTTGTGAGCATACTTTCAACTGACATGTCAAAGGCATTTGACTCGTTACACCCACCACTACTTCTGAACAAGCTTGAAGCGTACGGTTTTCAGGAAAGCGCTATTCAACTTTTAAACAGCTATTTAAATGAACGGAAATATCAAGTAAAGATCGGCCGTCATGTTAGTTCTAGCCGATTCGTGAGTCGTGGTTGTCCTCAGGGTTCCGCGCTTGGCCCGTTGTTATGGAATGTTTTCCAGAATGACCTATCCTACTGCCTAACAGCGAACTTGTCTATGTATGCCGACGACCATCAAATTTACCACGCAGGAGCAGACCAGGCAGCTGTCACTTCCCAGTTAAAGGATAGTGCCAACTTAGCAACAACGTGGTACGATTCTAACTTATTGGCGGAAACCTCAAAAAGTACCAAGTTTTGAACTTGGGCTTCACTCAAAATGACAGCAATATTTGCGTGAATGATGTTGTGATTGAATCTAAAGATAATATCATACTTCTAGGAGTAGTGTTAGATTCTAAGCTAAATTTCTCTGAGCATGTAATCTCTATCTGTAAAAAAGCCAGCCAGAGAATTGGTGTTCTAATGAGACTACGTAATTTAATTCCTATGAAATCTAAGTTAATATTATTCAAAAGCGCGATATTACCATTCCTCACGTACTGTCACCTAGTGTGGCATTTTTTGTAACGCGAGTGACACTCGAAAGCTTGAAAGACTACAAGAAAGAGGACTTAGAGCGGTTTTCAAGGATAATAATTCTAGTTATGAACAACTATTAGAGAAGGCAGATCTGCCAACACTACTAAATAGTCGCTTACAGGATCTGTGCATCCTTATGTATAAAGTAAAGCATAAACTGTGCCCTGCATATATAAGTAACATCTTTAAAGAACCAAATAGTAATTACAATCTGCGGCAAGCAGATTTCTCTATACCTAGGTATGAGACAGTCACCTATGGCAAGCACTCTATTAGATATTTAGGGCCTAGGCTATGGACAAAACTACCCAAGAGTATCAGGGACGTCACAACCCTAACGTCGTTTAAAAGCAAGATACGCCAACTCAATATAAGTGAACTTTTAGATGATGGCTGCGCAGGCTGTAGCCTTTGTTCATTTTGACTTCTGTGTATTTTTACTATAAATCTCTTAATTAGTTAACTATAGATATTTTACCTACTACTGTATATAGTTTTTAGTTTGTATATTCTCCCCTAATTGGTGTCCCCAAATTAGTAAGGGATTTGTTCCCTGGCTAGACGGTTTTTGACACTTTAATAAAGTTTCTATTCTATTCTATTCTATTCTATAATAATTACCTCGCCGCCTTTTTGCGCTCTTTCTTAAAACGTCGTTGTGTAATGTATTCTTTGTTTGTTTGTTTTTCTTTGTTTTATTTGTCCTTTTGTTATTTCCTTCGTTGTTTTTTGTTTTGTGAGTATTTGTGCGTTTTGTGTGTATTGTCTACCTACGTGCTGTGTGTTTTTGCACCTCAGTTGCCACCTCTTTTCAATTTTTTGTACCACTGCGGTGAAAATTATTTGTATGCGCATAATTTATGTTTTCTTCCTGATGCCATTCATGAAAGAACTTTTTGATTTTAAATTACTTTCTCTTAATGTGCGAGGGGTTCGAGCCGCCACGAAAAGGAAAGCCCTTTTTACCTGGCTAAATGAACGGAGGTATGATATTATCTTCCTTCAAGAGACCTATAGCACTGTTGACGTTGAAGACATTTGGAGAACACAATGGAGAGGTAAGCTCTTTTTTGCTCACGGCTCTAATCATAGTTGTGGAGTGATGATTCTAGTGAGAAGTGACTTAGATTTTAATCCAAGAACTATTAGTTGTGATGACGAGGGCCGCTCCATTATAATTGAAGCTGAGGTCCAAGGTTCGCCATTTTTGTTTGTAAATATTTATGCTCCAAACAAGGTTCAAGACCAATGCCGTTTTTTTGATAAGTTAAACAAAAATATTGAAGACCGCGTCGTTAATGAAGAGCTTAGAATTATTCTTGGGGGAGACTTTAATGTAACACTCGACTCTGATCTTGACTGTTCCGGTGGTAGACCTTTCAGAAAAGATTCTGTAAAACACATACAAGACTTATGCCTGTGTGGTGTTTTTGGCCAGCGGCCAATACACTTTGAGCATGCGCACTTATGCGCCATTCCGGAACGTAGTCCGTTCGAATCAAAGACATGACAGTGGCGACGAGGTAAAATTCAAGTAATTATGACCACTATTGGGAAGATAGAGAGTTTTGATGACACAAAAGAGAACTGGGAAACCTATGTGGAACGAGTAGAACAGTTTTTCTTGGCGAACGACATCGATGATGACCATAAAGTGCCAACTTTGTTGAGCTTGATCGGCGGGAAAACCTACACTCTGCTGAGGGATCTTCTTGCACCAGAGAAGCCAGCGACGAAGTCCTTTCAACAGATAGTTACCACTCTTCAGGAGCATTTGAGCCCAAAGCCCTTGGAAATTGCGGAACGATTTCGTTTCTACAAGAGAAACCAACATGAAGGAGAAAGCATTTTGTCTTACGTGGCCGAACTAAGGAAGCTTGCGACACACTGCAATTTTGGCGGGAATCTGAACGAAGCGCTACGAGATAGACTGGTCTGTGGACTTCGAAATATGCAGATCCAAAAGCGATTACTGTCAGAAGCCAAACTGAAGTATTCCAAAGGTGTGGAGATTGCTGTAGCAATGGAAACTGCCATCCGCGATGCTTCAGAATTACAAAGTGAGCTCAACCCCAATCCAGTCCCTCACGTTGACAAGTTGATTGAACACAACAAACCAACCCCAGCGAAACCGGCGACCAACCCCCCTTGCTACCGCTGTGGTGGAAACACACATATGACACACAATTGTTTTTACAAGGATCAGATCTGCCACCACTGTGGAAAACAGGGTCATATCCAGCGAGTTTGTCGTTCCAAACAGCAAGGCAAGCCTAAGCAAACAACCAAAACCCCAGTGGTACATGCTGTTGAGGTTGATGTTAATGTTGATGCATATGAAGACATATTAGCCACCTTCGAGGTACACAATGTGCGGAAACAGAGTAATGATATTATCTGGGTTGATTTGGATGTTGCTGGTAAACCACTTAAGATGGAACTGGACACAGGTTCGGCTGTGTCTATCATCTCATTTGACCTCTACCAGCAGAAATTTAACAGGCTTCCCCTGCACAAAACTGGACTGTCCTTGAAAACCTACACCGGGGAAAACATCATGCCAGTAGGGGTGCTCAAAGTACCCGTGGATTACCAAAACCAAAGAGAGGTGCTGGATCTGTATGTCGTCAAGAATAAGGGTCCTGTTCTAATGGGAAGAGATTGGCTACGTACCATACACCTTGACTGGTGTTCTATCAAGTCGCTGCAGGCTTCACTAGCTACCTCAAGTCCGAAAGAGCGTTTGGACGTTATGCTAGACAAGTTCTCTGATGTTTTTGAAAATAAACTGGGCACCTTTACATCAGCCAAAGCGAAGTTAACTCTTAAAGACGACAGCCAAGCCCGCTTTCTCAAGGCCAGACCGATGCCGTATGCTTTAAAGCCGAAGGTGGAGGAGGAACTGCGGAGACTCCAGAATGAAGGTGAGTGAATGGGCCACACCGATTGTGCCTGTCCCCAAGAAAGATGGTTCCGTCAGACTTTGTGGTGATTACAAGATCACAGTGAATCCAGAACTACAAGCAGAGCAGTACCCTCTTCCTCGCATTGAAGACATCTTTGCAAACCTTGCTGGTGGGCAGAAATTCTCAAAGATTGACCCCCGCCAAGCATATCACCAAATAGAGATGGAAGACGATTCAAAGAAATACCTCACAATCAACACCCATATGGGACTGTTCCAGTACAACCGACTAGTGTTTGGTATCACCTCTGCACCTGCTATCTGGCAGCGGACCATTGATCAAGTGTTAGAAGGGACGTCTGGAACAAGCTGTATCCTTGATGATATGATCATCACTGGAGAGAATGATGATGAGCATCTTGCCAACCTGGAAGAGGTTTTACGTCGCTTACAGGCTCATGGGTTAAGAGCAAACAAGACAAAGTGCGAGTTTTTCAAAGAGAAGATAACCTTCTGTGGACATGATATTGACAGTCATGGTCTCCACAAGTCACCAGAGAAAGTGGAAGCAGTTTTGAAAGCGCCTCGCCCAAGCAATGTAGCTGAACTGAGGTCGTTCCTGGGGTTAGTTAATTACTACAACAGATTCTTACCCAATCTGTCCACCGTGGTACACCCTTTGAACCAGTTGTTAGAGAACAACCATCAATGGAAATGGACGGAACAATGCGAAACCGCATTCTACAACGTGAAAGAAATGATCACCTCAGGGCAAGTATTAACACACTATGATCCCAGTCTGCCACTGAGGCTTGCTTGTGATGCATCCCCTGTGGGAATTGGTGCCGTGCTATTCCACGTGATGAATGATGGGACTGAGCGACCCATTGCTTTTGCTTCCAGGACACTCACAAAAACTGAGCAAGGGTACGCGCAAATTGACAAAGAAGCTTTGGCAATAATCTGGGGAGTCAAGAAGTTCCATGTGTATTTGTTTGGCCGATCTTTCACCCTGTACACTGATCATCAGCCGTTAACATCCATCTTCCACCCACACAAGAGCATTCCAGTGGTTACGGCAGCCCGGCTTCAGCGCTATGCATTATTCTTGGCTGGATATGACTACCAAATCGAGTACAAGAACACTAAAGTGCATAGCAATGCAGATGGCCTTTCCCGGCTGCCACTTAAAACCGAAGAGAGAGCAGAAGAAGTTGTGGATCCAGTAAATGTTTTCAATATGATGCAGTTTGAGCCGTTACCCATCACAGTTGACAATGTCCGAAGAGAAACCCAAAGGGACCCTGTCTTGAGTCAAGTCCACGAGATGGTGACTAAAGGATGGCTAAGCAGCCATGTTCCTGTACTGGACCCCTTCTACGCTCGCAGGGATGAGATAACAGTACACTCAGGCTGTTTGATGTGGGGAATCAGAGTCATAGTACCTCCAAAACTTCGTCCACAAGTGCTTGAAGAACTCCGTCAAGGACATCTTGGTGTGGTGAAGATGAAGGCCCTAGCGCGAAGTTACATCTGGTGGCCAGGGATCGACAAGGAAATTGAGGAAACCGCGAAGACTTGCTCGGGTTGCCAGCGAATGCAGGCTGAACCTAGTACCGCACCTGTGCATCCTTGGGAATGGCCATCGTCACCCTGGCAGCGAATCCATATTGATTTTGCCGGACCTTTCCTCGGCTGCATGTTTTTAATTGTCGTGGATGCCCATTCTAGATGGTTGGAAATAGAGAAAATGGACACCACGACCTCAACCAAAACCATCGAGAGACTGCAAAGCTTATTTGCTAGATATGGTGTGCCATCCCAGTTAGTGAGTGACAATGGGCCACAGTTCAAATCTGAAGAGTTTCAGATGTTCCTCAAGAGAAATGGAGTCAAACATCTGACATCTGCTCCATACCACCCTGCCACCAATGGTCTAGCCGAACGCTGTGTGCAGAGTTTCAAATCAGCCATGAAAAGTGAAACGGAAGTAAAACCCCTGAGCATTAAGCTGGCAACGTTCTTGCTAGCTTACAGAAATACCCCCCCATTCAACCACTGGAGAAGCGCCATCTCAGCTATTTTTGGGAAGACGATTACGTACTCGACTGGACTTGTTGAAACCAGACCTCCGCTTGAAGATAAACAACCGTCAGATAGACCAAACCGTCACGAAGGGTGGTGCTGTAACCAGAGAATTCTCCATCGGTCAGACAGTGATAGCACGAAATTACACTGGTAGTACAAAGTGGGTACCTGGCATCATCCGCACACAACTTGGGCCCCTTTCTTACGAAGTAGAAGTCAAACCTGGCCTAGTGTGGCGTCGACACACAGACCAACTGAGGGATACCAGCATTCCAGTAACACCAAGCAGCAACCCTGTTACCCAGACCTCAGAACTTCCAATCCAGGTTGAGAGTCGTGAGGACCCAGTGTCTGTAGCCAGTGAGCAGCCAGCAGCCAGCGACTTGGAGACTGATGTTCTGCCACCAAGTCCAGTGGCTGACCCTGCAGCCAGCAGTCCACCAAATTTGAGTGAACCTGTTCCTGTTAGACGATATCCGGTCCGAGTGCGGAAGCCCCCAGCTAGGCTGGATTTATGAACTTTGAAGTGACATTAAGACTGTGCTTATTTCAATAGGCGTGTTGTGTTTGACTTAACGTTTCAGATCCTTATTAGTTACCATATTGCATGCACTAGCTAGTGGGGAGGAGTTGTGGTGTTTTTGGCCAGCGGCCAATACACTTTGAGCATGCGCACTTATGCGCCATTCCGGAACGTAGTCCGTTCGAATCAAAGACATGACAGCCTGGATTTTGATTTGGTTGACATTTGGCGCGTACGAAATCCGGATTCTAAACGCTTTACGTGGCGTCAAAGAAATCCTTTCATTCAAAGAAGACTTGATTATTGGCTGATTAGCGATGTATGCCAAGACGACATTGAGAAGTCCGATATCATTCCTTCGATAAATTCAGACCATTCGGCAATTTTTCTCCATCTTAATAGCATAGACAAACCAAAACACGGCCCCTCTTTCTGGAAGTTTAATGCTAGTCTTATAAATGACGACGACTTTGTTGCACTGATAAATGAAAGTATGCCTTTGTGGTTAGAGGAGTTCAAAGACGTTATAGATAAAAGGCTGTTGTGGGATTTAATTAAGTACAGGATTAGACAAAGTCAAATTACAATAAAGTATAGCAAAGAAAAAGCACGTGAAAGGAGAAGAAAGATCTCTGATATTGAGGCTTCTTTGAAGATTTCGGAAGAGAGATGCGGTAGTTCACCAACTCCTGAGAACCAGGAAGAGTTTGAATTGTTAAAAATGGAATATGATTCTATCTATGAGCAGATAGCAAAAGGTGCTATAATCCGATCGAAAGCCACTTGGTATGAAAAAGGAGAAAAAAGCAATAAGTTCTTTTTAAACCTCGAAACACATAAGAAAGCTAAGAGTTCTGTCCGTAAGGTTTTTGACGATAATGGAGTTCTAATCACGGATCCTAAAAAAATATTGCAAGAAATTCAAAATTTTTATTCTAATCTTTGTGAGCATGACCCTCTTAGCCCATCTGAACACACGTTAAACTCTTTTTTAAACAATCCTGAAATGCCAAAACTCTCTGATACTGATGTTCAAATTTGCGGGGGAAAATTAACGGTTGAAGAGTGTTACAAAATTCTTCAGCTGTTTGAAAGTAACAAGTCACCAGGCAATGACGGACTAACAGTCGAATTTTACAGGGCTTTTTGGGGCCTCTTAGGACAGCTATTAGTAGACAGCTTAAACTACTCTTATGATCATGGTGAGCTCCCAAACTCTCAGAAAGAAGCCATTATTACCCTAATAGAAAAGAAGGACAAAGACAAAAGGGACTTATCAAACTGGAGACCGATTTCGCTTATTAATGTTGATGTTAAAATCGGTTCAAAAGCCATTGCCAAGAGATTGGAGAATGTTTTACCAAACATCATACATTTCAATCAATCTGCATATGTAAAGGGTAGAACCATTTTCGACGCGGTCAGAACCATAGAGGACGTTATGGAATTCTCAAAGAGATACAGTATTGACGGAGGAATGGTTTGTATAGATTTTAAAAAAGCTTTTGACACAGTTAGTAGGGACTTCTTATTTCGAACGTTATCCGTTTTTGGTTTTGGACCATCTTTTATTCAATGGATCCACACTTTTTACAAGAATGTCTCGAGTTGTGTCTTAAATAATGGCTTTGCAACTTCATCCTTTGCAGTTGAAAGAGGAGTAAGACAGGGAGATTCTCTCCCTGCTTACTTATTTATTATAGCATTAGAAGTTTTATGTGTTAACATACGTAACAGTATTGACATTCGTGGTATTAAAGTCGATAAAGAAGAGATCAAATTAAGTCTTTTCGCAGATGACCTGACTGGGTTTTTAAAGGATGACCTCTCTCTAACAAACTTTCTTAAACTTATAGAAGATTATGGAACTTGCTCTGGCCTAAAGGTTAACCACGAAAAGACAGAGCTTTTGTTACTGGGTAACCTGGCCTGTACCGTACAAGAAGCCACTCTGAACAACATAAAAATTAAACGATCAGCTAAAATCTTAGGAGTACATTTTACCTATGACATTCAAGCAAAACAAAAGCTAAACATCAATGAATTAATCAGCTCCATCCAACTTAAGCTACGAATCTGGAGGTGGAGGGATTTGACTATCATAGGGAGAATTCAAATTGTCAAAACCTTTATTATCCCTATCTTCTTATATCGCACGAGCTTGATATCATTGGATAAAGAATTTGTGAAAGAAGCGAACAAAATTATCTTTGATTTTATATGGAAAGGAAAGGATAAAGTTAAACGCTCTGCACTTATCAGTGATATCGAAGATGGAGGACTTAAAGCCCCACATTTAAACTCCATAATTGAAACACAAAGAATACTTTGCTGCAAGAAATTGGCAAATGATCAACCGAGTGGATGGAAAATAATCCTTTTGCATTATCTGAAACCTGTTGGTGGTAAATTAGTCTTATGTTGCGACTTTGATTTGAAGAAATTGTCTATCAAATTACCAGCCTTTTATGAAGAATGCTTAAAATCTTTTGCAAAGTGCTCTGCGGTAAATAATTTAAATATACAGGATTTAAATGGAAAAGACTTGTCAAAAGTTATCTTATGGAACAACAAATTTATTTGTGTTGGTGACAAGTCTGTGTATTTTCGAAATCTCGCTGAGAAAGGGATCTTTCGAGTGGGTGATTTAATCTCGAATAAACATGAACTTATAATCAAAAGCGAGTGGAGAGTCTTGAACCTTTCG